CTCATATCTGATAAAATAGATTTCAGAATGAAGGCCATAATTAGAGACAAAGAAGGCCACTACTCAATATTGAAAGGGTCTATTCAACAGGAAGATATAACCTTGATTAACATATATGCACCCAATATAGGAGCACCAAAATATATTAAAAAACTTCTGGAGGACTTCAAAGGAGAAATCGATAGCAATACAATCATAGCAAGTGACTTCAACACCCCGCTGACATCACGGTATAATTCCTCTAGATCAAAAATTAGCAAGGAAACAGAGACTCTAAATGAAGCACTAGACCAAATGGATTTAATAGAATCTACAGAGAACTACAGCCCAAAACTACAGAATTCACATTGTTCTCAAGTGCAAATGGGACTTTCTCAAAGATAGACCACATATTAGGGCACAGACTAAGTCTCTACAAGTTCAAGAAGATTGAAATTATATCAAGCATCTTCTCACATCACCATGGCATGAAACTAGAAATCAAATGCAAGAAGAACATACAAAGGGATTTGAATACATGGAAGGTAAATAGCATGTTATTAAACAATGAATGGGTCACCGAGGAGATCAAGGAAGAAATAAAAAAATTCCTGGAAACCAAAAAAAATGAAGACATAACAACACAAAATCTATGGGATGCAGCGAAAGCAGTTCTGAGAGGGAAGTTCATAGAACTACAGGCCTACCTCAAAAAAGAAGAAAAATATCTAATAGACTATCTAACTGCACAACATAAAGAACTAGGGAACAAACAAAAAGAAAACTCCAAAGCAAGTAGAAGGAAGCAAATAGTAAAGATCAGAGCAGAAATAAATGACATAGAGACCAAAAAATCAATTCAAAGGATCAATAAAACAAAGAGATGTTTTTTCGAAAAGATAAACAAGATTGATGGACCCTTAGCTAGACTTACCAAGAAACAAAGAGAGAGAACACAAATACACAGAATCAGAAATGAAAGAGGAGAGATAACAACTGACAACACAGAAATACAAAAGATCGTTAACAACTACTATGAACAATTATATGGCAACAAATTCGACAATCTAAGCGAAATGGACTAATTTCTAGAAACACATAGTCTCCCAAAACTAGATCAGGAGGAGATAGAAAACTTGAACAGAGCAATAACAACAGAAGAAATTGAAGATGTAATCAAGACTCTCCCAGCAAACAAAAGCCCAGGCCCAGATGGCTTCATGGGGGAGTTTTACCAAACATTCAAAGAAGAACTAATACCCATTCTCCTCAAACTATTTCAAAAAATTCAAGAAGGAAGACTTCCAAACTTCTTTTATGAAGCCAGCATAATTCTAATTCCAAAACCAGAAAAAGACACAGCAAAGCAAGAAAACTACAGACCAATATCCTTGATGAACATAGATGCCAAAATCCTAAACAAAATACTAGCAAATTGGATCCAGCAATACATCAAGAAAATTATCCACCATGACCAAGTGGGATTCATCCCAAGGATGCAAGGCTGGTACAATATTCGCAAATCCATAAACGTGATACACCACATAAATAAAATGAAGAATAAAAACCACATGATAATATCAATAGATGCTGAAAGAGCCTTCGACAAAATCCAGCATCCATTTCTGATTAAAACGCTCAGCAGTGTGGGAATAGAGGGATCATATCTAGATATAATAAAGGCCATATATGAAAGACCTATAGCCAACATCATACTCAAAGGGCAAAAAACTAAAAGCATTTCCCTTAAGAACAGGAACCAGGAAAGAATGCCCACTTTTGCCACTCCTATTTTACATAGTACTGGAAGTCTTAGCCACAGCAATCAGACAGGAAGAAAAAATAAAAGGGATCCAAATTGGAAAAGAGGAAATGAAATTGTCATTAGTTGCAGATGACATGATACTATACATAGAAAACCCCAAAGACTCCATCAAAAGTTTACTAGACTTAATAAATGAATTTGGAAAAGTAGCAGGATACAACATTAATGTCAAGAAATCGATGGCATTCTTATACACCAATGATGAACTCACAGAAAGAGAAACTAAGCAAAAAATCCCATTTACAATTGCGGCAAAAAAATTAAGATATGTAGGAATAAACTTAACAAAAAAAATAAAGGGCTTATTTGCAGAAAACTACAGGTTATTGAAAAAAGAAATAGAGGAAGATATAAAAAAGTGGAAGCACATACCCTGTTCATGGATTGGGAGAATCAACATCATTAAAATGTCCATATTACCAAAAGCAATCTATATATTCAACGCAATCCCCATCAAAATACCAACGGCATCCTTCACAGAATTAGAACAATTGTTTCAAAAGTTCATATGGAACCAAAAAAAAAAGGCCTCAAATAGCCAAAACAATCTTGAAAAGAAAGGGCAATGTTGGAGGGATCACAATACCAGATTTCAAGTTATACTACAAAGCTACTGTAATCAAATCAGCCTGGTACTGGCACAAGAACAGGCATATAGACCAGTGGAACAGGACAGAGAACCCAGAAATGGACCCCAGGCAATATGCTCAATAAATATTTGACAAAGGTGGCAAGAGCATACAGTGGAGTAAGGACAACCTCTTTAATAAATGATGTTGGGAAAATTAGACAGCTACATGCAGAAAAATGAAACTAGACCATCAACTTACACCCTCCACAAGAATAAACTCAAAATGAATAAAAGATTTAAATGTAACTAATGAATCCATAAAAATCCTAGAAGAAACAGTAGGCAACAAAATATCAGGCATCATACGCAGCAGAATTTTCACTGACACATCACCTAAGGCAATAGAAACAAAGGAGAAAATGAACACATGGGACTACATCAAACTCAAAAGCTTCTTCTGTACAGCGAAAAATACAATCATCAAAAGGTTAAGGCTACCCAATATTTGGGAGCGCATAATTGCCAATTATATATCAGATAAGGGGCAAATTTACCATATATATAGAGTGCTCATACAACTCAACAAAAGGAAGGCAAAGAACCCAATTAAAAAATGGGCAGAGGAACTCAATAGACACCTTTCCAAACAGGACATAGAAGTGGCTAAGAGACATATGAAGAATTGCTCAACATCACTAATTATCAGAGAGATGCCAATTAAAACAACAATGAGGTATCACCTCACGCCTGTCAGAATGGCCGCCATCAACAAATCAACAAACAACAAGTGTTGGCGAGGGTGTGGAGAAAAGGGGACTTTAGTACACTGCTGGTGGGAATGCAGACTGGTGCAGCCAATATGGAAAACAATATGGTGTTACCTCATAAAATTACAAATTGAACTTCCATTTGAGCCTGTGATCTCACTTCTAGGAATATACCTTGAGAAGCCCGACACACCAGTCAGAAAGAATATATGTACCCCCATGTTCGCAGCAGCACTATTTACAATAGCTAAGATCTGGAAACAGCCCAAGTGTCCATCAGTAGATGAATGAATAAAAAAGATGTGGTACATAAACACAATGGAGTACTATGCAGCTGTAAGAAAGAAAGATCTCTTATCCCTGGAGACTACATGGAGGGACCTCGAAAGTATCATCCTAAGCGAAACAAGCCAAAATGTTAAAGACAAGTATCATATGATTTCACTTATTTGTGGAATATAATGAACATTAATAGTCTGAGGAATGGGGTAGTCCCAGAGACGTGGAAATGGGGTACAGACTGACAATCCTCAGAAGAGGGGGTGGTGGGGGAGAGATAAACCACAGAACTTATATGCATGTATGCATGAACAATGGACATGGACAACAAAGCTGGGGACAGGGTAGGGAGGGCGGGGGAGGGGGGAATCAGTGGGGGAAAAAGGAGAAACATCGGTAACAATAAATAAATAAATTAATTAATTAAAAAAAAATCTGACACTCTAAACCTTGAGGGTAACATCCTTGGTAGCTATGCCAGCACCTCTGAGCCTGACAGTAATGTTGGTTCAGACAGTTACATATATATATATGTATATATATGTATATATATAATTATATTTATAACATTATATACAGAAGTGAGGCAAAAGTAGGTTTACAGTCATTTATATGAAAAGAAGACAATAATTAATAAATAATAAAAAAATAAACTCTGTTTCTTGTACTCACAAGTATAAACTTACTTTTACCGACCCCTGTATTATGTGGTTATTCTGTGCAGACTAAAATTAACTATCTTTGTAAAGGCTAGAGCTGTTAATGCGCAAGACTGGCTTGATAGTAATAAAAATTCTCAGGATTCCAGTCTCCCTCTAGTTGCCAACTATTGCAGAAACTAAAAATGTGAGGACTAGCAAAGAAGAAAATTGAGCCCTGGCCGGTTTGGCTCAGCGGTTAGAGCGTCGGCCTGCGGTCCAGAGAGACCCGATTCGGTTCCCGCTAAGGGCACATACCTCAGTTGCAGTTGTCCCCAGCCCTGGTCGGTCGTGCGGGTGGCAGCCACTCGATGTGTTCCTTTCACATCAATGTTGCTCTCTCTCTCTCTGTTCCTCTCTCTCCCTCCCACTCTACCTGAACAAAAAATGGAAAAATGTCCTCGGGTGAGTATAAAAAAAAAAAAAAGAAGAAGAAATTTGATTTGTTTGCATTCCCTGTGTGACAAAGCAGTGTGCAAATTGGACGAATAGTTAGAATTGAGACAGCAACTTAAAAACACACAAATATACATTATCCATTAACTCTGCATTTGCTCAGGAAACACAAAGAGAATAATCCCATGAGAAATTAGTCACTAACATTATTTAAAGTGATGGAAAGTAGAAATATTCCAGTATTTTATGATCCCAGTAATACAAATTTTTGGGTATTATGTCAATGGTCTGTGACACATTTTGTAACATTTCTATAGCCAAGAGACTAAAACTTAGTACATAAGAAATTTGATAAGATTGGGTTTCTTTATTGAAATTGTAAATTGTTGCTTTTCTTTCTAAAATGCAGTAGAACATTTCTCTGTTCTTCCTTAGATGAAATTGGAACATCTTGCTTTTCTTACTTAGGTATGTTCTTGACATTCTTACTCAGGTAAGGTCTCTTCTTCAGGTGAAAGTGGAACATTTCTTTTTCGTCTTTTGTATACCATAAAGAACCAAATTAATAAGCCTAATACAACAAAGAAAAGAATCAACAAAAGTAGTGGCAGAAATGTTGTTATCTGCCTTCTCCCACTTTTGATCCTAGGGGGTTTGCCACTATCAATACTACCTCCAAAGCCTTTTTCCAGGCAGCTGGGGGGGTCCCAGCCTCTGTCGCAATGGCAGTGTTGTCTGTTGTTGCAGATCCCGTTCATATTGCAGGTCTCTGGTGAACAGTTACTTAGCAGAGATGACCTATTGACACACTTCCTTTGGACGCAGACATGTTCTGCACCACACTCTGTACCATCTTTCACATCACCAATGTCAGGTGTGGTCATCCCAAAGTGGTAGTCTGTACCCCAGCAGGTGACGCCACTGAAGTGAGTCCAATGGACCGTAGAATGATCACTCAGAAGCGGAATTTTGGCCACGTTTTTACACTGAATCCTCCCACACAAGCTATCTGAGATGTTACATTTTACATATGTAGAGGAGTTGAGACCACAGTGACCAAAACGATCACCTTGAGTATTCATTTTTGTGTAGCAACTGTGATTTGCACTCTTTGCCTCTTTGCCAAAAATTTTCCTACACTGTTCTTCACGGTTGTTGCATCTCTTTTCATAGCAGTAGCCACCACCCTTGCATGGGAACCCATTCTGCACATATACATCTTCTGGACAAAGGTAGGATGTCCCATTGCACCACTCTGGGAGATCACATTCATTTATCTCTGGTCTACAAAGTGTGCCTGTTGACACAATCTGGCAGTCTTTGCAACAAAGCCCCAAAGCACAAGCAGCCCCAGGTCTGAGAGTGCAGTTTGACTCACAGCATGGATCTTTCATACACAAATCTAAAGTTCCACAGTCACATTCTTCTCCTTCTTCAACCACACTGTTCCCACACCATGTACATTGGGAGATGTTCTCTTTATTATGTAAATCAAACAAACAGGTTCGTTTTGTCATGGTGTTCACGAAGTCAGCATAACTGCAGTTGCTGAATCTAGTTGAACTTGTTTCTGTTGGATACATTATGCAGGTCTTATCCCTACATTTACAAGTATTCCCATCATGAGGCATACCTAAATTATGACCAATCTCATGTGATACAATATGTGCAAAACCATGCAAATTATCATTCAAGAAACTATCAACTGCACAGTTATAACGAGCGTTACAGACTGTTCCAACATAGGCTAAGCCAACAGTACCACCAAAACTTTGCTTTACGAAAGCATGTGCAAGATCATGGGTTATGCGGTCATTAAAGCCAGTTAACTTCCACTGTGAAAGTGCATTCAGAGCAGCCCCTATTTTATTTAATGTAATGGGGTTACTATTGCTCCAGATCTCAATTCCCATTAAAACCACATCAACATCCAGGGAACTTAAAAACATACCTATTCCATTGACAACAAGGCATACTTCACGCTGCACATCTGAGGCATTACTTTGGTGATGAAGATATCGATTGTGGTCCACCACCACTGCCAGTTCAAGAATACGCTTGTGGGTCCACCAGCCTTCATACCCGCTCTGCTTCAAAGTGAAATTAACATTCTCTTGAAGCTTCAATTGTCGTGCTATTTCTTCATCTGTTAATCCACATCGCATGGGTGGGAATTGTGTCTCTTCACTGTCCCTTTTGTATACAAAATGTTCAAATGTGGTAGAAAGTCTTTTGGGCTCTATTTCATAAACCATGTCATTTGTCTGTATGAATCCTTGAAACCCCCCCAAACAGGTACTGAGGACAACCAGGGATTCTCGATCCCCCTCCACATAACCATGATAGTAGCAGTCATTCTGGACAAAAGGCTGTTCCATAAGGATAGCGCCCTGGTCTGTGTAGGTGAATACTGGGAGGTGTTTGGACAGGAGAAGTTTGTTGACCTTCATGTGGACAATGTGTCTCTGGCCCTCAAAATACATTGTGTAAGAAAGCCAACCTGGAGGCTTCACGGCAATGCCAGTGCCTGCCATCTTCAAGGGAATCACTACTTCTGGGGGACCATGATGTTGGGAGTGTACCACCAGGGGCCATCCATATTGAAACAGAAACACCCCTATACAGAGTGGCAGGAGAGTATTCCTCATGTGCACCAGGGCCTCACCCATCGCCACTATTGTGCCACCATACACAGCCAATGGTGAGAGCAAAGTAGAATGGGCAGGAAGCATCATTGTTCTGTATTGTCAATCTGAACTGGGTATTTAGCATTGACTTTGAGTCTATTTTCTGGTAGAGTCATACCATCAGAGCAGCACACTAAAAGAAAAAATAAAAAGAATAAAGACAGGGTTGGGGGTTATGACCAGGCCATGGTGGAGGAAGAAGAAAAAGATACTAGTTAAAATGGAGTGGCATTTGGCTCAAGATATGACTCAGAACACTGCTTGAATTTGCCCATAAGAAATTAGAAGGCAGTGTGAGACTGTGGATGTACCAAAAAAATGGTGATTGGTCATAGACTGATCCTTTTTGAACCTAGATGAATAACACAGTGATTAATGACACTGTTCGTTAAATACTGGAACATGTGTGAATATTTGTCCAAGAAATATATAAAACAAATGGTCTTAATAGAAAAGTGAATGTACATCATGTGTGAGAGGGAGTTTCTATTTATACATACTGACTTGGTGTAAATATAAATATATCGCTTTCTTTTCAATTATATTTTCTTTTTATTGTTTTTAAAATAATCATTTTCAATTATACTTGACATACAATATTATATCAGTATCAGTAGTACACCCCAGTGATAAGTGGTTATAACTTACTAAGTGGTTATCCAGATAAGTATCATATCCATTTAGCACCATACATAGTTATTAGAATATTATTGACTATTTTCCCTATGCTGTACTTACATCCTCATGATTATTCTATTGCTACCAATTTGTTCTTCTTTGTTCTTTCACCTTTTCCACCACTGCTCCCCCCTAACCCTCCTCCAATCCAGCAACCATCAAAATGCTCTTTATATCTATGAGTCTGTTTCTGTTCTGCTTATTCCTTTATTTTATTTTGGGATTCAATTGTTGTTAGGTATGTATTTATTGCCATTTTATTGTTCATATTTTTTATCTTTTTCCATCTCCTCTTCTTCTTCCCCTTCCTCTCCCACTTTCTCCTTCTCTTGCTTCTTTCTTCTCCTTTTTCTTCTTCTTCTTCTCCTCCTTCTTCTTCTCCTTCTCCTTCTTCTTTTTCTTTTTCTTCTTCTCAAAGAAGACCCTTGAATATTTCATGTAATACTGGTTTGGTGGTGATAAACTCTTCTAGCTTTTTCTTGTCCTGGAAAATGTTTATATGTCCTTCGATTCTAAATGATAGCTTTGCCAGGTAATCTTGGCTGTAGGTCCTTGCTTCTCATCACTCTAAATATTTCTTGCCAATCCCTTTGGCATGCAAAGTTTCTATTCAGAAATCAGCTGACAGTCTTATGTAGGAACTCCCTTGTAGGTAAATCACTGCTTTTCTTGTGCTGCTTTTAAGATTCTCAAAGTCTTTAATCTTTTGCATTTTAATTATGATATGTCTTGGTGCAAGCCTTTTTGGGTTCATCTTGTTTGGTACCCTCTAAGCTTTCTGTATTTGTATTCTATTCCCTTCACCAGGTTAGAGAAGTTTTATCCACCACTTGTGGGTGTGGGACCAGCCTGTTCTGTGTCTTTGTCCCTTCTGCCTATCTTTATATCCTTTGTTGCAGGACTTCTATTCAGTTAGATTTCATGTGATTCTGAATGATTGTTGTTTTTTTGTTTAGTTGTATTTTTGATGTGGTTGTGGGAGGATGAGAGTACAGCAAAACCTAGATATAACAGACTTATTCAGGAACTGGGGTGTCTGTTTAACCTGAAAGTCTATTATATAATAAAGTAGGTTTTCCAAATGTGTATATTTAAAAATTCACAAATTAGTTACTTTATCTGTTTCTACCTATGTAGACACATTAGTGTAATTAAAATTAAGTATGTATGAAAAGTTCAATTTCACAGAAAAGTTTTCTATATGTATTACTGTAATTGTAAATTTATACTGAAAAAGTCTAGTAAATGTGTGCATTCACCAGTCACCATGAGTAAACAAATGCACATGGCTGGGGCATGGCTTAGGACTCCACGGAAGGTTGGCTGGCTCCCGATAAAACTGCTGCAGAAAGTCACACCACCTGACAACAGAAACAGTTACAATGTGTGATGCCATGTGATCATGTGCTAATTACTCACCGAAAAGTGTTTATTAGTGGTGAAGCTTGGATTTAAATGTGTAGACTATTGTTATAGATGTATAATATTTATTTATGTTGGGAAAATTACTACAGTGATTTTTTCCCAACATATGGCCTGTTTACTAAAATTTGTTACAAATAATAGTGAATTAATAACAAAAGGGTAACCTTTTAATTTAATTATAAGTCAATTTTAGTTAAAAGCATTTATAAGTAACAGGGTAATAATTTTCCCATAAGACATACAGACTGAACATTTTGTCTATTAAATATGACATCTGTTAAACTGAGGTCCACAAAATCTAGGGTGTACTGAACTACATTACCTATGCAGTCATCTTGATGGGAATCCTTGGCTTCAATTGCTTATTTGTAGAACTGGCTTTTCTTTGAATTTTAGATAAGAAAATATTTGGTCATATTACTCAGGAAACATATTTAAAAATACCTCCATATATTATTATTATTTTATTGACCTTAATATACAGGAGTGGGCAAAGTAGGTTTATAGATGTGAATGAGAAACACAGAATTTATTCTTGTAAAATAACCTCTGGGATTTGCAGACCCCTATTTAACTGATTTTAGATTTAATGGACAAAATTTCCAGTCATAGCAGACTTTACTTTCCTGTGTTTCCTCAATTTATAAAGGGGTTTTTGACGTTTTTTCTTTAAGCACTCTCAGTACTTATTGATCTGATAATGACTGTGTATATTCACACTATAAATGAAAGTTGGCATGTATATGTGAATTATTAACTTACAAATTCCTAATGTATATCTTTGCCCCAACCACTCTGTTCAAGTTTGTACTCAAGACGATTACTTTATTTAGGCCTGTGTTATTCATGTTTCCCAAGTATGTAGCCCAGTGTCTGCACACTTTGTGATTTTATTACTATTCTATTCAAGGAAGAAAGTAACAAATCACTATTGTTAGAATGGCATTATGCTTGTACCACATTTCTCATTTTCATAAATATGTGCTAATATGTTTGTATTATTGAGGCAAATATTTTTGTATTTGTATTTTTCATATAAGATATATATCCATATATATCTCTATATATTTGCTTATGATGTAAATACATCTACCTGAAGTGTGACATTGAAAATGATCTTGCAGTTCTAAAACTGTGGGGATTCAGATATTTGTGCCCCATAAGAAAATATTACCCTCCCCAAAGGTTTTCTCCATCCTTTTGGGATTATTTTTTCCTTTGCATTTCTGAAGGTATTTTATTTTGTCTTCAGTATACTCCCAACTCCAACTGTTACCCTTCTACTTCAATTTTATTTGATTTCATTCCATTTTATATAATGCTGAAAAATGTTCTTATTCTTAGGGATATAATAAAATATAAACACATTTATGCAACATCCATCTAACCTATGGCACTTTTCCCTTCCAGTGCCACCACTGCTTATTGTTGACTAAACTTTATGGACATACTAATATATGTATAAGATGAGTGATAAAAGCTTTTTATATCCCCACAGTTTTGTCAAATTGATCCATCTATGTACCTTAATTACCTCCTCCCTTCACTCTTATTTATAGCCTAAGTCACATTTTTTCAAAATATGAGAAACAACCCATTAAAGCACAATTTTGTACCTCTCAACAAAGTAAAATATACTGGAATATGAAATAATAAATGTCAGAGATCCCCCCAAGATGAGAATACTTGGTAAAGACTCTTGTTTTGTTTGTTTGTGGGTGTGTAGCTATGCGTATGCATACACAAATACGACTGCTTCTTTCCTTTACATGAAATTCTTAAATGACTTACCAGCAGTAGAATTAATGGTCTCCATGGTCCTTTCTAGATATAACCATATTCATTGATGGTTTGTACTGCCCATCTCTATGAACACAGATGTTCAATGACAACATATGACAAAGATAACATAAATACCCACTTTTTGTCTCTGAATTTTTAAAATTCTAGAGGTAGTTACCTAGCAGCAAAACTCTCCCAGTTCTACAGACCATGGCAGTTGGTTAAAGTTCCTCTTCATTGTGACTCCAGAACTTCCATCAAACTTTAATTCTAACCACTCTTCAACATAAATACTTTTAACTATATTCCTTACCCCCATCCTATGTGCTTCCTATATACAGCATAAACACTTTAGTTTCAGTATTGTGATTAATCGGTTGCCTTGGTCTCAGATTATTTCCTCAACAATGAACCATAGTGTGGAACATTTAAGTATATCAAGTTCCAGATAAAGGTTTACCTCATTTGAAATATTTTACAAGGAATCCAGACACCAGTAATCGTCTGTAACTTTCTTTATAAGATCAGTGAAATAACACAGAGATATTTCATCTCTGCACATGAATATATTTCAGTTTTTTTAAAAAATTATTTTTAGTAAGTAAAGGAAAATAAAATTTAGAAGAAGAGAGAGGTGAGTAACATATAGAGTGGGAATACATTTAATCAGTCAATTGACTAGCTGACAGTTTAAAATCACCGATATGGGCAGACCTGTTTTAGCAAGTTGGCTGAGGAAAACCAAGATAGCAAGCTTAGTTACTGATTTTTCTTGAGAGTTTACCTGTGGTACAGAGAGGTTGGTTCTATCTGCCAGTTGGATTCCTGCCCTTGTGTTTCTATTTCCCCTCCAGTGTAGTAAGTCCAGTTTCACAACCAACTTACTTAGAACTATAATTGTATTTATCTATTTGGTTTTTAAGGCTGGTACAATAAAGCACCACAAAATCAGTGATTTAACAGAGATATATTGCATGACCATTCTAGAGGATAGAATTCCAAAATCAGTGTCCACAATGCCTTACTCTCTCTGAAGATACTAGGGAAGGCTTTCGTGGCTTTCGTCTTGGCTTCTCTTCTGGCTTCCAATAATTCCTTCTTTGCCCTATGCAGCATGATTCAGTTTTCACATGGTTCTCTCCTTCTGCTCAAATTTGCCCTCT